TACTTCCTAAAATCTCCAGTTTTCGAGCTGCCGTAGACGTATAGGACGGTTTGCTGATTTCATTGTCGTCAGAGTTTTCAACGATTGTTTCGTTGCTGCCGTCTACCACTTTAATCACCGTGATCCTCGTGATTTCACCGATTTTGTCCAGCGTCGGTATTATTTTGACCTCCGTCTGTTCCTCCACCACCCCAGCGTGGTTCTTGGCTTTTGCCTCTTTCGCTTTCACCTCCACTATTCTGTTCACTTCTATCAGTCTCTCGACTTTGCCACTCTTGGTCGTGCTTGCGGAACTCGGAGGCTCCGTGGTAGTTACGTCGTCAATTTCGGCAAACACGTGTTGCAGAGTGGTTGAATACTGCTCCGTTACATCAGTACTTTCCGACGAAGTTACCGAAGACTCCGTGGTAATCGCTACGAACGGTGTATTCATTTTTCGCTTGGCGAATAGGTTTCTGTTCCTGCTTCTAACCGCTTCTGCGTCGATTCCAAAAATTTCTGAAGCTGACTTCTCGGTCGTCGCTTTGGGAAACTTTAATTGAACCTTTTTACCTTCAACTGGAGTATTCGCTATTCTACCGTTTAGGGCTTTGACTTCCTCGTCGGCAACATCTGTGATCTCACTGTCTTCATCCTCGTTTATGGCGGATTGCTCCGTTGTGGTGGACTTGTATCCAGGTTTTTCAGCTGGAATTTTAGGAAATTTAGGTTTGTATTTTTTGGTTTCGGTGGAACTATGCGGTTTATCTTGGATTATTTCGTCTTCCGTTTCGTATTCATCGTTGCCGCTTAAATAAGGTTTCTCGGTCGTGGTAGTAGACCTGTACAACTGCCTGTTTATCGTAGGACCAGTTCTAGCTCTGATTGTGAATTGTCTAGCTGGCTTAGGTGTCGTTGTTGTAGTTTTTCTTCCGTAAGAACTCTTTTTAATGACGTTATTGCTTGTCGGGTGCAAACCCGGCTCCGTGGTAGAAGTAATTCGCTTGGGATTAAACTTGGGCCTCTCTTGTATAGATTTTAAAGTGCTCTTTTTCTTATAATCAGCTGTACTAACTTCAGCTGTAGCAGCCGCCTGCGTGGTGGCTTCCGCCTTCTTTAAATTATCCGTTGCTGCGGGTGAAGTTTCATCTGTGGTGTAATCCGCATCTGTCGTGGAAACTGACACGTATGTGGTGTCAATTACATTCTCGTTGGTCGAGAAAATTCCTTTTTCCAAAATCGTGCTCGTTTCTGTAGAAAAATGCTCAAGTTCAGTCGTTATCTCATCCCCTTCGGTACTAATCTCCACCGGTGTATTCGTCGCGTTCGCGGTTTTAGAACTGGGCCTGTTATTCACCGTATTCTGTACTTTGCTCTGAATTTCTTCCTTGCTTATTGCGATTTTCTGTTTAAATGACGGACTGCCTTCGTCGTCCATCATTTTCATTTTGCCTTCGTCGTCCTTATTGATAATTGTTTCTGACTGATTCAGACTGTTCACTGCCGATTTTAATATCGAGGAAGTTATAGACTTGTTCTCCGTAAGGCCTTCGTCATGATCTTCTTCGTTCTCGTCGTCAAAGTTAGTGTTGGACTCGAAACGGTGACTCCTGTTTATCGTCGACGACGTATATTTGATAAATTTAGGTTCTATAGATTCGTCATCATCTATTTCATCTTGGTATTCTTCTGCATCTTCCTCTTCGTCATAGAATTCAGTTGTGGTAGAAGTTGTCGGATGTGGCCTCGTGTAGACGCTCAGTCTAGATGATAGAGTGCTCGATGGTTCACTCAAAGCTTGACTAGAGAAATTCTCGTCATGTTGGTCTTCTAGGTCCGATATTTTTTCGGCGCTAGTATTGTCAATAAGATCCGGAACATTTGTGGTAGTAGTACCAGCATTCTCTTCTTTTTTATGTTCAATCGATGGTCTGTATATTCTATAGCGGTCGCCTTGGTGTTTATGATTTTCATTTCTATTATAAGAATCGGTAACTATCGTTTTGGAGGTTGTATCATCCTTAAAATCTACAGGCTCGTCAGTTAGCTCTATAGTATCAGTTCGTTGAAGATGTTTGTAATCAGACTCTCCATTATTGGCTTTAGTTTTCGAGTCTACCGCATTTAAGTTGGAGGGTCGTAAACGCCTCACCAGCTTTCGTTTTTTCTCGTCTATAGTGTTCGATGGTGGTTCTGTGGTCAGTTTCCTAACGATTTTTCTAGTTCGGGCAAATACGCTTGGCTCGGTGGGTTTAGAAGTGGGAAAAGTGCCTCTTCGCGGTACGCTGCTGGCTTGAATGTCGCTATCGTCCTGTTGTGGAACCACTCCGGAATATATCTTTTTGGGTTTTTCTCCCGAATCGAACGCGTTAAGTGGACTACTTTCCCGAATATTTGACTCCGATAATTTGATGTTCTCTCCTTCTTCGCCGTTTAGAATGTCCAAATGTTCGTTATCATCGTTCTTAAGCTCATTGGGTATTCTCGCCGGTCTAGTACTGAACAACTTTAGTAGGGGGCTTGAAGTAGTGGTGGCATTTTCAAGATCAATTTCATTTACCCTCTGCCTAAATATCGGTATCCTTCTACGCAATTTGATCACGTTACTGCTGGTGGTGCTGGGTGATTCGCTAGAGGCTATGCTGGAATCTGTGGTGCTTGGCCTAAACCTTCTAATAATCTTTCTGGTTCTGGGTGTGACACTTATTTCCTGCGTACTCCTTACTTCTAATTCCTCGGCCACCGGCCTAAAAGTGGTAGTTGAACGAAAACTGAGACTGTTTGAACCCGCATTAATCTGATCATCATTATTTGATTTGTCCGTTGTGGAAGCAACAGGTCTGCGCCTTCTATGGCTCGAGACGAAGTTTCCGCCTCTAAGATTCAAATCAACGGCCGTCAATGACGATAGGTCCGCCAATTCTGCCGGCCTGTATGTCCGTATTTGTTCCTGGTTGTAATCTGGAGTACTTTGTGTGGTACTAACGACCCGTTTTCTCTGCGCACCTCTGGTTCTGGATCGAGTTGGGGTAGTCTCGGTCGTGGTGGTCGCAGGGGAGGTTTGTCTTAACCGAAATTTGAAATTTGATTGACTCACCTTGGTCGCTTCTGTCACAGTAGTCGGTTCGGTACTGCTAGATGAGAACGGTCTGGGTTGAAACAGTATGGGGCGTCTCTTGATTTTTAAAACGTTCTTTTCAGTTACGCTTAAGCTATTTAAACTACCGCTAGGTGTTACGTTGTTACCGACGGCCGATATCGAAGTCACGGAGGTTGGACTTCTGAAAAAACGATTATCACGATCAGCTGATTACCAGGGCGCTTTGTAATTTAACTTACTCGGTGGAAAGGATCGTTGTACTTTGAGTGCTCGTGCTTCTGCTGATCGTTTGGTATCTACAAGGATACAAAGATTTGTGAAATTAACTTCCAGCTTTGCCGGGAAATTTATTAGCACATACTTAGCAGTGACGTCGTTCTCCTCCTCGATACTAGACGTCGTTGCGGTAGAATTGCTTTGTTCGTCGGCGTTTGCGGTTTGCCTGCTATTAACAAAGCGCTATTAACAATTTGCCTAGTAAAACGTGGACTGAGGAATATATCAGCACAAAGTTCTTTGGAAGGATAGGAATTCTTCTATTTGCTCTAGTTTTTTTTTCTCTTTAAGCTATTGGGTTGATTTTATCTATCTCAAATAAGTATTACAGTACTTTTAATTGCAGGGACAGCAAAGCGCCAAGTTAGGGCTAAAAGAAAAAACAATGGATTCGGTTTTTTTTTTGTTAGTAAATTTGTAAAACTAGCAGGATTTTTATTAAATGCAACCAGTTTTGATCCAAATTTGATATCGTGCACCTAGTGGTGAGCCCACAACATTGGACATTCCGAATAATTTATTTCCTCGACTTTGACGTTATAGCCACTTATACAGGGTATTAGCGTTTAATATATCACAGGGTAAAAAGTTGCTGTGACTTTCAAAGGCTTTCAGTATGACCGTATAAAATATTTTTAAGCTGATTCTTTAATCATTTTAATGGAAAATTGTCCTTTTATTGGTTTGTAGTTAAACAATTCTAATAAGGAAAAGAAGATCAAGTAGAATAATAAGTTTACTGTAGAAATGCGTTTTGTTTATAATGTCATTTAAAAATCGCAATCATATTATAATTTTGCAATATCGTTGTGTAGTGGGTAATCCATATTAGTGCAATTATTTTTTTCAGATGGTACAGAACCCGCAGAAAAAAAAAATAAAACTTTGAATCTTTGTATCTCGAAAAATACTGGAGAAATCACCTTGTGGAATATCGGACGCTTAAGTAATAACCCCCTGTCTTCTGGGTTATCGTAGTTTTATTATATAGATCAAGTTTAATTAATATGAATAATTTACGAAACTGTCGCTTTGCTTATATAGGAAAGGAAAGTTGGCAAAGTGAATTTTGCTGCCAGAAATGTTACAAATTGACTTTTTTGCTGCTCCAAATAATTTTTGGGTCATGGTTGCAAAACTTTTCACTCAGCGGGGTTGAAACTTACTCGACAATGTCTGGTGAAGCCGTGGTGGTACTTCGGCTTATTGTTTGGTACTTTCTCGTAGATTCATCAAGCGATTGACCGGATTCAGTCGTCGTACCTCTTCGTACCGTCTTGTATCTAAAACAGCACGGCTAGAGTTTACAACCATCAAGCAAGTCCTGCAACTGCGTACTTTTCCGTTTGATCTGTTTCAGTTTCGGCAGCGGTCGTCGTCGTAGACCTTCTAATTGTGACGTATTTTGATGCCGTGGTTGAAGATTCCGTTGTCGATGGCCGTTGCCTCCTGATGTTCACATATTTGGGTACATTGGTTCTCTTATTCGCGTCTTCGACCTCGTCTTCATTTCCTTCGTCCTCTCCATCTTCACCGAGCTCTCCCAAGATCTTGTTCCTACTAAAAGTGAAAATGATCTATGCTCCAATTTCAAATTATGGCCTGGTATTTACCTGTCTTCGCTTGACTCCGTGGTTGTGCTGCTTTTGGCCCGCCTAATATTCACGTATTCTAAGGAATTTTTGGCTTTGAAATTCCTGAATGGTTTCAGCGTCTCCGCCGCTTTTTCTGTTGAAGACGCGCTCGGGTCCTTGTCAGCGATCTTTTCCGTAGATGCTCTAAACATACCAATTTAAATATTGCATACTATTCGCTTGGGTAATTTGGCCAAATTAAAAAAAATCCCCAATATGTTAATTTAGACAACGTTTCGGATAGGACGGCACTCTGCCAAATTTTGGCAAAAACGTTGTTAGTATTTGTTATGAAAACAATTTCTTCAAATTTGCGCGTTTGCATAGAGGACAATCTCCTTAATTCACTTAATGGCTATAAAATTTGCAGAGAATGACAGAAATTTCGGTCAGCACTTAAATATATCGGAAAGCAACATCTAGGTATTCAGTCTAACTATTCTGGAGCAATTAAATTTGGAGTAGTTAAAACATTATGCAAACGAGTAGTGACAGAGCTTTTTTTCGATGCTGAATTGCATAATATTAAAACAGCCTCAATAGTATTTATTCACAGCCGAAGATGCTTTCACTTTTAAAGATTATGTATGAAAAAAAGTCAAGACCGACTTTAAGAAGTTCTTCGACAGAAATCAGACCCCAAACATCGAATTAAAAGAGAGAATGGAGAGATAAAACAGAAAATACACACCAAAGGGTGTAGGATTGAGATCTGGGACAACAGAGCATGTTTGTTCGAAGCAATACAACATAAAATATTTGGAAGTCCGTGCTGTCCACAAGGAATCTCACTGAGAGAAGTGGAAATTTAAAGTAGTCGCCTTCATTGCAAATATTAACGGTTTTGACACACCAACTCTGAAAATACCCACGAATAAGGCGTACCAGTGCAGTTGGGAACTAGTTTAGTTTACACTTAATAACGGACAGTGGTCCTTCTGTCTCCCATACTCAAACAAAACTAAAGACGTTAACTTCAAAAGTGAAATATTCTGTGGTAATATTTATTTTTTTTTAAATAGAGACATATAAATTTCGTTAATCAACAATTAAAAGAAAATAACAGATATAAATTTTCTTTTATTTTTATAACGTTATCATTATTGTTAACTAATATGTCTTTTACACATATTTAATGAAGTAAGGAGTATCTTGACTACATATGTTTAAAACGTACTATTTATTCTCAATTCAAAAAAAGCACCCTGGAGGAAGTTTAAGATTTTTTTTAATTTTCGGCTAAAATTCTTCAATTTCATAGTGCAAATATTTTGCATTTACCTCTGTCTAGTCAACGTCTTGTACTGAGGTCGTTTGTCGTTCGTCCTTTTCTCGGTTTCATCCACAACCTTCAGACCGTCGGTCTGAGGTCCGCCACTGTTCCTGCTCGAGCTCTTGCGCAAAGCGTTTAGCGTATTCTTCGAAGTTTTGCTCAGAACCCTTTCGTACAAGGACTTGCTTAAGGCCGACTGAGTAGTTGTGTCAATTGAACTGGACGAGGGTACGTTTTGGTCAATTTTCAATTGCTTCTCAAGTTCTTCGATACCGCCAGCTTTCCTGATTAAGTCTATCAGCTCTTTGATAACCTTAGGGTCTTCTTCTGATGCCCCTTTGTGGTCGCCCTCTACCACTTCTTCGTCCTCGTATTCATAGTACTCCTTAGGGAAAAAAAGGTCCAAGTAGAAAGGGGGATAAAGTGTAGTCGAATTTATACATTCAACTTGCTAATAAATGCTAATAATGCAGAGGTACAGTCAACTGACGAATCGTTGCAAGCTGACAGATTAAATATGCCCGTAGATATTAAAATTATATTACATTTCTTCTTATTATAGTTGCTCACTTAATATATTAATTTCAATACTGGTATCATCACACAACATTTTTTGTGAATATGCAGATGTTCTCTGTTGATTGGTATTATCTAATGGAAATGACTGGACTTACGGATCCATGCAGTGAGAAAGAATAATAAAAGAGAATATTGACGTTTGCTTTGATTTTCTATGGGATATAATTAAATTTCTTAATTAAGTGTTAAGGGTTAAGTGTGTTTATCGTGCAATATTGTTGCAATATTAGTTCGTGAGTAGCATCCATAAATCATGAAGAAGTTGGAATTTCTGTTTGTGTCTTGTAAGGGTTGGTTTGTATAGAATTCTTACAAAGACTGGTCTTTTTTTAATGACACTGATACTTTATTTCTCTTGAAAATTTTACGCCTCATTTGATCTTGATTACTTTAATCATTTACCTTTACAAAATGCCAGATTCTCTTTGTGTACGAGTTGAAACCATGACTGTAGATATATGTTTTCCGCCTTACGAAAAGGCGAAAATATTTTATCAGTATACTGTCTTGATGGCACTATCACTCTAGCTTATTGTTACTATATCTCCGAATAGAGTTTTCATATGTTACCTCTTCTGGTGCCTCGGTGGTGGTAGTGGTGGATTGCCGGAAAAGTCTGCGCGTCGTTGTAAACACGCTGTTCGGTTTTGATGTGGTACTGGAGCTCGTCGACCGTTCCGTGGTCGTAGTGGTGGAACTTGTGGTCGCCGCCTTTTGCAGTTTTTTGTTGCACAAGACGTTCTGAGTATAGTCACATGAATCCGCAGCCTTGTTAAAGTACAAACCTAAAAAGCAGCGACATGCTTAAAGGTAAAGAATTCAGAAACTAACCGAAACTAACCTGCGGGGCATGTAAACTGGTGTGCTACGATTCCGTTATCACCGGCGCCTGCCAAACACCAAAAGTATTTCTTGCAGTCTTTCGGGTGTGGGAAGAAGCCTTCGTCTTCGCACTTGAAAGCTGGAAAATACATCCCTAAGTGGCGGAAGACTTCGTCGTGAATTACTTTTTACCTCCTCCCATATCTGGAGTAGAAGGTGGCGCGGGTGTCGTGTAACTAGGCGTGGCTATCTTTAGGCTGCTGTGGGTCGATGTGGTGATCGTTTTCAATTCTTTTCTACGTTTGGGAGCGGAGGCTGAGGTAATTTTGTCCTCGTCGCTGGGTTTCGGTTTAATCCTAGATAGATCAATAGATAATTGTAAAATTTGATACAGGATACCATATAATGAATTCTAATTACCTTCGTCTCCTGGTGGAAGAAACAGTTTCCGATGCCGGTGTAGTAAATTTCTGGACGGTCCTCGTTTTGCTTTTGGGTTTGGGCTTGATCGGCTTGGAAGGCGGGGATATCAGATTGTCGTCAGTCGTTCTGCAATAACGCCTATAAGTAATCTCTGTTAAATGAAGTAACATCTGCTGGCTTACCCGTAGGCCTCGATCATTGCTTCTTTGCCCGCCTCTATTAAGGGATATGGTTTGCCGTGGCAATTGCCCCTGAAGTCGTCGTTATCGATGGCCCAGAACATGATACCACCGATGCCGTTTTCCACCACGTATCTCGCTTTTCTACGAACGATGTCCTCATCGTCGTAACCAACCCATTGGTTACCTTTAAAAGCATACGGTCCCATAGCTTCGAGATTGGGCTGTACGACCTCCCACTCCTGATCTTTAACGTACTCGCATATCTTCAAGAAAAAAACGATCGTGTAACCAAGACATAAGGCAAGAGACAACCTTGTCTTCATTCTTTTGTTTGTTTTGAAGTTATATTTAATAGATGTCCGTTTCAAGTTTTTTAGATTAGAAGAAGAAATTTCAGAAAAAAAGGATTGCGAAAAGTTTCTACTAATTAGTAGTAAAAATGAAACAGAAAAATACGCCAACGCTAAACAAAAGAACTAAATTACCGAAAGGAACAAAAAAAAAACATATTGAAGAACTACGGCACTTTTCCTACAAAATAGTGCAGACATTTTGATTAGTGAGCAACGCAAAAAATTATACGTAATTAGGTAACCCACTTCATAGTACGCCAAGTAGCCATTTTCGCGAGTCGCTTCTCCCATGTCGCCAGGACCATCTGCTGGAGCTCCAATTTCGTTGGCGTCCGGATTGAACAGTGTGTAGGACCTTCCGTAGGTTGGGATTCCCAGCACCAACTTGCTTGCATCCGCGCCCATCTTCAAATAGTGCTTTATCGTGTAATCCTGGAAATAGTGTATTATGCAACAAGTTTCATAGTAGACAGTAGTAATAGTGTTTTTATTTTTTTGAACAAACAAGCGTTTCTCTTGACTTTTATTGACTTTTAAAATTAAATTAAAAATTTTACCTCAAATATGTCACCCCAAGGTTCGATACTGGGTCCGATAATATTTATTTTATTTATTAACCAATTTCACATTATAGATTCTAATGCTCTATTTGCAGCAGATGATGTTTGGTCTTTCATTTTAGATAACTCTGATCTTGTTCTAAAAAGCAATTGCAATCACTTAGTTAAAAAAATTAATAATTGGTTCTGTGATCACTCTCTTTACCTTAATCCATCTAAAATGACGCTTATGGAATTGGTCAACTTTTAGTGACAAGATAAAATTTCTCGGTCTATATATCGATCAATGTTAAGTATGACATTCACTGTCAATACTTATTGTCAAAAATAATCTGTCAAAGTTATGTTCTGAGACAATTAAGTGCTAAAAATCGAACACCTGATTCAGGTATTTTGTGCGTTGTTTCTGGGACCGGTCATCCCTCGCTACAGATTTATTGCTCAAACGTTCTCTTGCTAGAAAACCAAAAATTCATAGTTGAAGAGATTTTTAAAAAAATAATAGTATTTTAGCTGTGCCGTCTTTGTTTTTGTATGAAAAAATTGTAATCTACACAGTTTAAATACTAGAAGTAGTTCTAACCTCCCCACAAATATTTGCAAACCTAAATGGGATTTCTGTTCTTCTCGAAATGCGGGGTCATCACTTTTTAATAATTTTCCAAATAAAATAAAGACTTGCAAATCTTTAAAGCTCTGTTACAAACCTTTTTATTAGAAAAAAACTTTCTATGGTGTAGAAGACTATTTAGAAATTGTATCATAGAGTTCGTGCATTATCTCTCAATCTTAAAATAGTATTGATTTGTTTTGGTAATGCCTTATCCTTGTTCTTGCATCGATTATTTAAAATATATATATATATATATATATATATATATATATATATATATATATATATATATATATATATATATATATATATATATATATATATATATATATATATATATATATATATATATATATATATATATATATATATATATATATATATATATATATATATATATATATATATATATATATATATATATATATATATATATATATATATATATATATATATATATATACATACATATATATATATATATATATATATATATATATATATATATATATATATATATATATATATATATATATATATATATATATATATATATATATATATATATATATATATATATATATATATATATATATATATATATATATATATATATATATACATACATATATATATATATATATACATATATATATAGTTTATATTTTGTTTTTTCTTAGACCTTCTCTATATTTATGTTTAGCTTTTGGTTCTTGGGTTATAGGTCTTTGTATTAAAAGCGATTAAAATTTTTTAAAAATTCTTAATTCTCAGCCACCCAGAATTTATGGATTGCCCAAGCTTCACAAGGAATCCATCCCTTTAAGACCAATAGTATCATGTATCCAATCACCATTTGAAAAACTCTCAAAATTTTTAAAGAACATCTTGCAAAACGTTATACATAAAAATAGATACTATATTAAAGACTCTTTTGATTTCAAAAACAAAATTAAAAATATTTCTCTACCCAACGATTACATCCTAGTTTCATTAGATGTTGTTTCTCTATACACCAACATTCCAATAAATATTGCTAAGCAAGTAATCATCAAAAAATGGGATAACATCAAAACCTTTACCGATATTCCGCTCGATGACTTTTTAGAAGCAGTCGAAATAACACTAAAATCAACCTATTTTGCATACAACAAAGTTTTTTATCAACAAATCGACGGATGCGCCATGGGAGTTTCAATTTCCAGCGCCATCGCACAAATTGTACTGGAAGATTTGGAGGAGTCGGTCCTTAGCAATGCCCTTTTTGACATACCTTTTTTCTACAGATACGTAGACGATTGCATAACGGCAATACCAAAAAACAAACAACACGAAATTCTTCAACTCTTCAACAGCTACCATCAGAAATTACAATTTACAATAGAAATAGAGTCCCAAAGTAAAATCAACTTTTTAGATTTAACCCTTCATAATTTAAAAAAAGGAATTAAAACCGAGTGGTACACTAAAGTGACCTGGTCTTCCAGATACGTTAATTTTAACTCCCAGCACCCTATATCGCAAAAAAAATCCGTAATTATTGGCTTGGCTGACCGTGCAATTAAACTCTCTGATCCGGATTTCAGAGAAAAATCGTTTACTAAAGCAAAACAAGCATTAAAACTAAATAACTATCCGGAACGATTAATTAACACCATTTTCAAAAAACGTATACACCTATTCTATAACCAAACTAAACAAAAAAGCAACACCCAACAAAAACAAAAAAAAAATTATCTTTCGCTTCCTTATATACCCAGTATGTCCGAAAATTTTAGCAAAATTTTTATGAATCACAACATTACTATTGCTCACAAAGGATACAATTTGGTAAAAAACATTTTCAGTAAACTAAAAGACAAGATACCGGACGAAAAGAAGAGTCACGTCATTTACGAGATACCTTGCAACGATTGTGAGGGTGTGTACATCGGTCAAACAAGCCAGTATCTTAAAAACAGAATTAATGGTCACAAATACGACAAAAAAAATACGACTGCCCTGAAGAGTCATTGCGCGGAAACCAAGCATTCTTTCAACTTTGCGAAAGTAAAAATTCTAAAAACCGAAAATAATACAAAAAAAAGGGAAATTCTGGAAATGGTTGAGATCCAAAAAAATAAGAACTCTATAAATTCGAAAACAGACACCAACAATCTCAGTAAGTTATATTGCAACATTCTGAAATAAAACAACAATGAAAGTAACAACATAGGGATATATTAATATAAAATTATAATATATAAAAATAATTTAAAATAAATAAAAGAAAAAAATTATAAATTAACAAAAACACTCTGTATATCCTCTGAACCTTGCACCAAAACAATCGTGCATCGTACGATGTTTTTACAGTAACGTCGACGCGAGCAAACCTCGCGTATCGGAATTATTATTATTATTATTATTTTAAACTCTTATATATATTTTAACTGTTTCGTTAAATTTGTGTGTGTGTGTGAGTGCCGTATACAAATCATTTTTTGTTGGACTTTTATCTTTTATCAAGGGTATGACTTTTTTATTCTCATAGTTGGAAAAAACCAAAACAATAATATTTCTAGGCACTATGACAAAACCAAACGCTTTTAAAGTATAAACTTCCATATGATGCTACCTCTTCAATTTTAAGATTTGTGTTTGTCTCTTTTTGGTAAGATTCTTTGTAATTCCGTTGTGTATATGTAAAAAAAAAAGAAGAACTGTACTATAACATAATTTTAGACTGTACCCCTTTCTGAAGAAGGTCATAGAAGACCGAAACGTCAATATATGGACAAAAAAAATTTTAATCGCTTTTAATACAAAGACCTATAACCCAAGAACCAAAAGCTAAACATTATATATATATATATATATATATATATATATATATATATATATATATATATATATATATATATATATATATATATATATATATATATATATATATATATATATATATATATATATATATATATATATATATATATGAAAAATTGTAAAGTCAAAATATTATAAAATAAAACACATTCCAGGAATTTATTGCTGATGAGCTGCGTTTACAAATAAAACAATTTATCAGTTTTTTAGGTATCGTCATTTAAAGTCAGTCAACGTTTTTTCTAGAAAATATTCGAAACGGTTTAGAGTGCAATCGTGGCGTAAATAAAATTATGAATTTTTCAGATTGCGTTAACAAATTCGAGCTCACTTAACAAAAATAATTAGATAAACGTTAAACCGTGTAAGCAAAAAACTAACGGCTTTCTAGTACATAACTCTCTTTTTGCCGCATTTGGCAATAATCAAATTTTGTTTTTTAAAAGCCTAGAACTAATGATGTAAACGTAGAGGCGAGTGGAAAAAGCTTCTACGACAATCCGTGACTAATATGGTCGTTTAATTATACAGATTCGATCGGTAGTTGGCGGCGGAAAACGAGGTTTACAGCAATTAAAATAGTTCGTTCCTGCTAATAAAGCGATTTTTGCTTGGCACAAGAGGGCGGGGCCGGCAGTTCGCGAGTTGCTGGTGTGGCGCTCTGATTCGTTTCCTTAATTCATATTTTCCGTAAACATAATTAATTTTAAAATTTTATAGATTTTTTTTGTAATATTCTCGAAATTAAACGAATTATTAATTACAAGTGAAAACACTAAAAGAAAGCAAGAACATTAAATCATGATAAACAATGAACAAAATCAATAAATAAACAAAAATGCACACTATCAACTATCAAGACTTTTAGATCGTTAATCGCACAACTGAGCCTATGTGAGTTTCTTGTCCCACAGATCCCCTTCGGACATCTCTGGGTTTGGGAGCGACCGATGTTTTCGGGGATTTTACAGCAAGGATTTAATTTTGACGTTTATCAATTCTGACGGTCATCTCATTAAATGTAGTCGTATTCTTTTGCAAAAATGTACCCATAAACTAACGGTTGTAGAAAAAGTATAGTATGCAACACGTTTGCTAAATTTTTTAAGTCACTGGTTTATTAAACACTCATTCCAAATAAACTTGTCCCCAATAAAATTTAAAATATTACTCCTATTCTACTAATAATAATATAATACTATAATTTATTGCATATAGGAGAAACCTCCACAACAAGAAGTAAGGTTCATTCAACTCAAATCAATTTAATATTTATCTTAATATAGATAAAGTATAACACAGTGTAAAAATATTAAAATTGTTTATATAGGGTGTTCCTTAATGTATGTCAACACTGATGGTGGATTCATCTTAAGAAAAACCTACTATATATTAACGTATTTCCTAAACTTTTGAGATATAGGGTGGTAAAGGTTTTAGGAAAAATGTTCTTTTTAAATTATCTAGGATACCAAGATAATTTTGTGATATTTGGAGAATGCATTCTGTGCATCAAGAGATATTTTTAGGTTCACTTT